TATATTGATATGGCTAAACCAATTATGCCAACTAAATAAATTATCAATATTGATAAACTTCAGGTTTACACCATGACGTGTGCAATTATCAATAAACTCTAAGTTTATTATGATATGGGTTTTTATCTCAATAAACTTCTGCTTTATTGTGACATTCTCTTATTTGTGTAGTATAAATTGAATAATAAAGTGGGTAGCTTTTCACATACATATTATCCCGCTACAAGTTGTAGTAATAGAAGATATTAAATTTTTCCTTTATTTATAGACTCAATATAATCAACCGCTTTCGCGTATACTTTGGAAACTGAATAAGTTTCTTTGAGACTTTACAACGACACAATACCTTATTGATAATCAATTTTGTTCCTCCAAAATAATAATAATTGGCTCTTCCTGAGCTCTCAATTAATTTTGTACGACCATATATTCATCAACATCATATGGTGAATATCTCTTTTAAAGAGAAAGTTATACCATTATGGTTATGGTCAAAATTATATGCAAGATCTGTTTCTTGCATTACTGTTGTCTTTTAATAATCACAATGCCAAAATATTTTGGTATACAATAAGTACGTGACTAATGACCATTCATGCCATAATAATGATATTACTTTCTTATATCATCTCAAACCTCCTTTTAGAGGTGAGTGTGGTATATTCACTACCACTAGCACATTCATTTTCTTCCAAGAATGAATATGTATTCATAAATAAGATGTTGTCACATTCACATCATGAATGGACCATAATCATCTATATGTGCTTTATAAAATCTCATGTCAAATCGATGACAAATATTACTTTCACAGAGTGAAGGATTCTTTTGAGAATCCTTATTATTTTTATTATCACAATGATGACGATTATAATTTCTTCTAATACCACGTCCACATACATTGATACCTTCACAGTAATAATTTTGTCTTCTTTCAAACTTATCACATATTGCTATCACATTCTCTTAAGGAAATGAGAATGCAGCAAATTCAATGGGACGGGTTTTCACTTCTTGTGCTCACGATCATACATGACTTTGATCATGGCAAGACATAGAAATTTTACCACTTCGAGTGGTTATAATTTCTCACTAACTCCATTAGAGTTATAATCAAAATTTTGTTGTCTTTGCTTGTATTTAATATCAAATTATAGAATAAAATAGAAAAATACGGTAAAATACATACCTTAAATCCAGAATTTAATCATGAAAGAAGTTTATGGAACAATTGACAATCATTATGCTCAATCCCAAAGCTTCTACTCAATTTGTTAGAGTCTCGTGCTGATAACGTGTTATAAAACAATAAATGAAGAACAAGAGTATTGCAGAGAAAAGTAGAGAGAGGGAATTCTTATTGATATTGGATGAATTACAATGGAATAGGACCCCTCTATTTATAGGGAAAGGGTGACTTATCCACCAAGTAATAAACCCTAGAATCTCTCTAAATATAGACATTCATCATAAATACAATTCTATTTATAACAATATAAACTATTTTTATCCGGTTAGTGTAATTAATCTGCTATAGCATCTTACGCACAAATTATTGTAAAAGTTTTTAATGGGCGACTATAAATAGAGTTACTTGCAATTTTCTTTTAAGTAACCTGATTGAATAAATATTTTTGCTATCGTTGGTGCGTAAAACTTAAACTCTCGTTAATATTTACACTTCGTTTTTAATCAATTTCTCATCTTGTTGTATCAATTTAATAAGTACATGACACGATAACTTACCTGATTTACTTCCTCATTTGTATATATTTGAAATTCTTTCTGTACGTTGCAACACTAGTTTACAGTAATGCAGGAGCTGCATTTTGCAGCTTGGAGGCAATTCTTTATACATTAAACTTGGGTTAGGATTGGATTGGGTTCTAATATGGTCCAGTCTCTTAATTAGTGTTTTAAGCTATTTTTTATTAAAATTAAACTTGCCCTTCATTAAATTCGGGGAAGGGTAAAGTTAAGTGGCAATTAAAAAAATAGATAACTTTAATGGCCAATTACCTCAAGTTGAGTGATCACATGAGGAAGCAACTCCTCGTTATTTTTGAAAGTATGTTTCAATTCAAGAATTTTCCTTTTCGATTCGATTAAACTGTTAATGGTGTATATATTGAAAAAAATGAAAGCAGGAAAAGGCGTGCACAAAATATTATTGACCAATTTAAAACTTGATTAAACTTAGGGTGTGTTTGGTATGAAGGAAAACATTTCCGGAAAATATTTTCCAATTTTCCCATGTTTGGTTGGCTTAAATATTTTGGAAAACATTTTCCTTATCAACTCATTTTCCTTCAATTGGAGGAAAATGTTTTCCTTATCAAGAGAAGAGAAAACATTTTCCAAAACTCCTTCTCAACCTTCCCCACCCTATCCCCAACCCACCCCCACACCCACCCACCCAAACCCCACCCCACCTCTCTCTCCAAAAAGAATTTTTTTTTTTTAAACTTTCAGTTTTTTTTTTCCGTCACCACCCACCCTGCTATCCCCTGCCAAACCCCACCTTCACTCCCCCCGCACAAAAAAAAGTTTTTTTTTACTTTTTTTTTTTGTAATTTTCAAATTTCTGTTTTTTTCGTTTTTTTCTGCCCCCTCCCCCCTCTTCCCCCCTCTCCCCCCGCAAAAAAAATAATTACTTTGTTTTTTAATTTTAAATTTCTATTTTTTTATTTTTCTGCACATACCCCCTGCCCCCTTCCCCACCCACCCCACCCCCCTCCCCCGGGAAAAAATATTTTTTTATATATATATTTTCAATTTTAATTTTTTCCATCTGTCGGTTTACAGGTTCGAAAATTTTACATGTTTCCAAAGTTATGAGTTTAGAGGTTTATGTGTTTCAAAGTTTACGGGTTTTAGAAATTATAAAGTTTACGGGTTCGAAAGTTCGCAGTTTTTACATAAAAAAAGTAAAGCAACACATTAGTTCCTTTGGGTTTTTTCAATTTTTATGAGACTTAGGGAAGGGGTGAGGCGGGAGGGGGTGGGGGTGGGGGGAGGGGGAGGGGTGGGGGAAGGGGGAGGGGTGAGGAGAGTTGCATAAAAAATATTTTCCTAAAAAAAATATTTTCTACTCTCTAACCAAACAATAGAAAATATTTTCCGAAAAATATTTTCCATTCACCAACCAAACAAAAAAAAATAAGTGATAAAACCACTCATTTTTCATGAAAAGAAACTTCGTACCAAACACACCCTTAATTGAATTGAACATATTTAACTTGATTCACTTCAAAAATGTTCAACTTGAGACAAAACATCGCGTTTCCGGTTAATTAGTCATTCCATGATTTATGTGATTCCTCTGTATCTTCATCGTGCATTATGAAGTACTAGTACTTAACGGGAGAAATTCAAAAATAGTCAGATTTACAAATGGTCATTCAAAACTAGCCACAATTTTAAAAGTAATCGAAATTTAGCCATTTTTCATGTAAAGATAAATCTGAACGAAAACATTGTTCAAAATCCAGAAAAATACTTCAGTATATTATGCTGGAGTTCTAGTATATTTGCAAAAAACACCTGTGCTCCAATCTCAATATATTATACTGCAACTTTCCACATGTTGGAGTTCCAGCATAATATGCTGGAAGTTCATACACAGGTGCACCGATCTCGAGTATATTATGCTGGAACTTTCCGTGTTGCAGCAAAATAGTGGTTATTTTTCAATGACTTTGCAAATGCTGGCTATTTTTAAGACCAGTCCGAAAACTGGCTAGCCCGTACTATTTTTACGTACTTAACTGGTGCTCTTTTTGGGCCTGACTGTTGTTCCATTTTGATAGTGATCCACAAAAATTACCCAATATTAATTGGGCTCTATCAGATAAAAGCCCAAAGCTACAACTTCAGTCACAAGGATAATAGCTTTAAGGGGTTTTGACACAGTTACCCACAAAAACAAAACTATTTACCATTGTCTACCCATTTGTTTTCCTACCCATAAACTAATTACATTTCCTACCCATAGTAGATTTTGTGGGGAATTTTTTCTTTATTCTCCAATTCTTTTTTATTTCTATGCTTCTTTTCTTTTCTTTTTTCTTTTTTTTTCTTTTCTCCTTTTTTTCTCTCGTTTTCTTCTTATTTTTTTTCTTTTTTCCTTTTCTAATTTTATTTAACTTCTGGTTTTTTATATTCTTTTTCTCTTCATAATCTAATTTCATTTACTGTTTTCACTATTTTTTATTATTCTTTTTTTATATTATTACTAAAGAAAAATCAAATTGTGTACCAAGTAAATGTAGTTAATACAACTAAAAAAATATTAACTAACATATGATACCGGTATAGTATATAGTTATACCAACAGGGTATACAATTGTACGCAAAGAGTTAAAAAAATTTAATTCAATTATTAAACTGAAATAGTATCAGTTGTAAAAAAAAAAAAATTCTCAAAGGACCTAATTGTAAGAGTATACCATTACATCATATAGCATACTATAATTTTTTTTTTTTCCTTTTCAGTTTGCCCCTCACGCTTGGGTAAAAGCTTAAAACAAATTAAAAGGGAAAAGACAAGTGAATTTACGGGTAATAAGTATACTATTATAGTATATTGTATACTATTACATCATATTGTTACAGTATCTTGCATATTGTTACAGTATACCGTAACAATATATTGTATACTATAATAGTATATTGTTGCAGTATAACTATATACTCCTATAGTATATTAGTATACTGTAGCGGTATACTGTGTTGTAAACTATAATAGTATAGTGTTGCAGTATAGCTATATACTCCTACAGCATATTGTATACCGTAGCGGTATATTGTAAGCTGTGTTCTTCTTCGATTTTCAATTGAAAAATTCGATCTCAATCACCTCAAATCAGCTCCAAACGCTATCAAATTTCAGTATGAAATTTCAGAAGGTACTATAAGCAATATTTAACAGCACCCACTTTGAATCAAACAAGAAATCTTCAAAAATAAAATTGAGCTTCAAGCCCAACAATGGTAGGACCATGGAAGCATCACCCCAAACTGGTTCTTCAGTACAAAAAATGTCAGGTTCTTGCTTCTCTGTTGCTGCTACAGCATCTACTTCTTCACTGTATCGCTCGGAAGAGGTCGGCCTTTGAGCCCGTATTGGAAGGGCTTGGTTTTTTTTATTATAAAAGAAACCCCAGGAGTTACGTCTTATTCCCGAGGAGTTGTTTGATCTCTTCACTCAAAAGCCTAAATTCTCAGTAGATCATCTTTCCTTAAGTACTTATAATACTCACTTCAACTTCAAGATAAACTCAACAAAACTCAAAGCCCATTTCCCCATTTCTTCTCTTTATCGCTCTTCAATCTTTTTGAGCACTTGTGCTTCTGTGTCTGATGGAGTTGAGGTTGTCCAAGATGATGACGAAGAAGAAGTTGCACTGTCAGCCGAAGAAGAAGAGGAAATTGAAGAAAAAGAAGAAGGTGTTGAGTTAGAATCAGTTGAAGGTGGTAGATTGTACGTAGGTAAAATGAGGAAGAAGAAGTGCGGGTAAATAGCTTGGGGGCCATGGGTAGGAGAATAGTTTGAGCATTAAAGGGTAAATAATTTGGAATTAATAGGTATAAAGTGAGATTTTCTCTAGCTTTAACATCATGTACCAAATCATCTTCTTTATAAAAGTATTACTTTTGGTTTTTCCTGACCAGTTACTCCTCCTAGATATACTGGCCTTTTAATTTTCTACATGCTTAATGCAATTAATTGTACTATCAAATTGATTTGAAGATTTAAAAAGTTTCAGCTCTTCTCGTTTATTAAGTGATGATGTTTTGCGAACAAAATGCATTCTTATTTTCTCCAGATAAAAAAGGATTGAATAAAAATTCGACTGACTATATATTATGAACTAAAAATTACAGGATTAAACCCGCACATCACTTTACACTATGTGGATCTCTAAATTCAGAGGCGGAGCCAGGATTTAAACTTGACAAAATTATAGAATAATGCACTCCATAAGTTGACCTTGCACTATTTTAGCCCAGTTATAAGTTTGCAAATGTGTAGCCAAATATCAATAAGATCTTTTCTTTTCTCATTCCCTCTAATTATAACAACCTCATTTTTGCCTACCTACCCCTATTGTAGCTCTCTCCTCATTTTTCACCCATAAATATTTAATTTAGTTAATGAAAAAGAATCATATGCAAACAAACTGAAAAGAAAAGCTAGTTCCCCACTCAGTCAACACTCATTCGTGCCTTCTTCCATAAACAATACTTCTCTGTTTTTTTTTTAATTTTGTATATCTTCAGGTTTATACATACCTATCACAACTGCAAAACGCAAAAACAGACGCGAGAAACCTAAAATCTCATCTCCTTTAATGCTAATCTTGTTAAATTTCGATTATGATTTTGTGAGAAATTTGGAGTGGGTATTATTTGAACTTATTAGAAATAGTCTAAGTAGGTTGTATACAAAGTTTGAAGTTATTTGGTGGAGATTTGGACTAGTTTTATACAAGAATTGCAAGTGAAAATCGTACAAAAATTTCGTCAGCGCTTATACACTTTTATACAATGTTATATACTTTTATACAAAGAGGTATAGTATGTATATAGTTGTATAAAAGTGTATAAAGATGTATATAGGTGTATAAGAAGAAGAAGAAGAAGAAGAAGAAGAAGAAGAAGAAGAAGAAGAAGAAGAAGAAGAAGAAGAAGAAGAAGAAGAAGAAGAAGAAGAAGAAGAAGAAGAAGAAGAAGAAGAAGAAGAAGTATCAACCTTAGACATAATAGTGTATAAGTTGTGTTTATACACTATTATATACTATTTATACAATGTTATACATTATTATACAAATGAATCCTATCGATGGAGCTTCACGTGTTTTTCTTCTTCCTTGGGCATCCTGTGAAATTTAACTCAAATATAGTCTAAAGCTACTCCAAATCACTTGAAATTTAAGTTTTGAACCCATCTTGATGATTCCAGTCAATTGAGACAACACCCATTCCAAACAACTAACAAATCGGAAAACTCAATTTTTGAAATTTAACTCAAATATAGCCTAAATCTACTCCAAATCACTTGGAATTTAAGTTTTGAACTCATCTTGATGATTCCAGTCAATTGAGACAACACCCATTCCAAACAACTAAAAAATCGGAAAACACAATTTCTGAAATTTAACTCAAATATAGCCTAAATCTACTCCAAATCACTTGAAATTTAAGTTTTGAACTCATCTTAATGATTCCAATCAATTGAGACAACACCCATTCCAAACAACTAACAAATCGGAAAACTCAATTTTTGAAATCGAATCTTCGAACCACTTGTAATGGTGACTTTTATTTTTCAAATCCTTAGTTAACCATTGAAATCCAGAAAAGAATTGAAGGAGAATAACAATAGTAGAGAAATTTTGTGGTGCAAAGGCTGACATGGGAAGGAGAAGAAGAACAAGAAAAAAGGGGAACGAAGAAATAAGGGGTGAGCTAACTGGTGAAAATTAATTTTCAGATTATGTACAACCTGGGCTATACTGGGTAAGGCCTTGAAACATGGGCCATTATCTGATGGGTTGTTCGGCCAAGTGACAAGGGATTAATTCTCCCTTTAAAGTTTATGGGTTCGGGGATTCTAATCCTTTTAAGTTACTGGGTTCTAAATGAATAATTTGGGGGGATTTGCATCTATACCCGCTTTTTGTGTCACGTTGCAAAAAAAATTGCAAGCGTACCCGCTTTTTCGCATAACTTCAGCATACGCGGCTGAAGTAGCAAAGGCAATCGCGCAAAACTTCAGCATTCTAGTAGCCGGGCCTGAGTTCAGCTCTAGAGCTGAAGTTTTTGTTTTGTAACTGTCGAACTTCAGCTCTAGAGCTGAAGTTTTTGTTTGTAACTGGCGAAGTTCTTATTTGTAAGCTTCAGCTCTAGAGCTGAAGTTTTTTTTTTTTAACTATCGAACTTCAGCTCTAGAGCTGAAGTTTTTGTTTGTAAGCTTCAGCTCTAGAGCTGAAGTTTTTATTTTTAATTATCGAACTTCAGCTCTAGAGCTGAAGTTTTTATTTTTTTAACTATCGAACTTCAGCTCTAGAGCTGAAGTTTTTGTTTGTAAGCTTCATCTTTAGAGCTGAAGTTTTTGTTTTTTAACTATCGAACTTCAGCTCTAGAGCTGAAGTTTTTGTGTTGTAACTGGGAAACTTCACCTCTAGAGCTGAAGTTTTCTTAAAAGAGATCCTTTTTTTCCTTTTGAATGTATGCTTTCACTGCACCTATTGTATCCTCTGGTTCAACCATTAAAGAGAACTCATCCTGAAGTACCGGCAAGTTGAGGGAATGAGTACGTAAATTGGAAGTTAGAATCAATATCATCGTCTGTAGTGTTTATAGAGATTAAGCACATCATCTGTAGTGTTTATAGTGTTTATAGAGATTAAGCACCTCGTTTGCAGTCAATGAAAACGAAACCCATTATTTTCTCAGCAACTTTCAACTTTTGGAACACTAAAATGCAATACTTCAGTTTCTTCCATTTTTGCTTTCTAATTTAGATCATAATGCATGCAGAAATGGGAAAAAGTGCCAGGGGTTTTTGGTAGAGGAGCTAAGGGTCTCCACAAGGGACAGTACCACAGTACTGGAAAAAAAAAAAGGAAAGAAGAAGAAGAAGAAAACGAAGGAGGAGAAGGAGGAGGAGAAAGGAGCTGAAGTTTTTTAAAAAGTGGGTACAAGTTAAAAGTTTTAAAAAAAATGGGTATAGGTTAAATTGGGGCGACCAAATAGGGCGCCCCGTACAATTTTTACAATAATTTGTATATTCAATGAATTTTTAAAAATAAATATAGGAATTGAACTAAAGCTATTGAGTTCGGCCGAACCCGTAGGGAACATGCTGGCTCCGCCACCGGATCTAATGAACAAAGTCAAGATATGATACATATAGATCATACCTTCGTAGCAACTTAAATATTTTGTATAAACAAAAAGACAAACCCAAATCTTAGTTGTAAAGCAAAATAGAAAGAAAAAAAAGTGTGGATAAATGGAATGATGAGAGAAATAGAAAAAAGACAATGATATGTAATTTTAATATGTACCTTTCAATAATCTGATAAAAGGCAGTATTGTGAAGCATTAATACGTATTCATACCATAATTAAGTAAATGTTCTTATAGAAATATAATAAATTAAAAATTAAGAGCTTCAAGTCGATGTAGATTGAAAAGATTGACTCAAAAATCGATTTCATGCTTAGCTCCATTGTAGAATGTAGATATAACCATTAAGTTAGAAGTCATGAAAAGATGGAACTTGCATTGTAAATACAAATATGCAACGAATTCTATTGAAAAATGAATCTTAATTATTTACAAGAGTACCAAACCATGTGCTATATGTTATCGAATTACTAGAACAATTGTCACGAGAAAAATAAATAATTACCTAAATAGTTGTTCGCTCAATTTTTTAAACTAAAAATAACAGGTATAAACTAAATATATAATATAGGTATAATCGTATATTGTCGGTATATAATTTACCTATACTATCTAAAGAAAAAAATATATAGTGGATCCAACCATGTAAAGAATCCCAAAAAAAAGTTTGCAAGGAATACCTTAGGGTTCAAATCCAATCAAATATGTCGCGTTTCTTCTTTTTTTTTTTTTTGGTTTCCCATCCAGTGTCCGGTACCCGAAATATTGGAGCCCGATTATATCCGGATTCGCGCCGCGTAGGGCCCCTTTCGGGGGGAAGCGCTCCCTACCAAGGATTTTTCCATACCCAGGGCTCGAACTCGAGACCTCTGGTTAAGGGAGGATCAGCCTCATCCACTGCACCACATCCTTTTTTCACTATTGATAGACTCGCCCTCCCATAAAATATGCTAAATATTTTCTTAAGACCTTATTGATGAGCATAAGCATGGGCACCAAGTTTTTTTCGAGATTTCGTGCAAAAGGAGTAATTATGATTACTTATGATTTTTGTTATCCATTCCACGTATACATGTCTGCATTTCCAAAACAAGCATAGCCATGAAGCTTCTTTTTTGTCAAAAATAGTAGTAGTAATAATTCTACATAGGAGTATAACACTATACCTAGCTAGCCATGCATGCATTATCCTTTTCCCCAAGGTCAGTCATTATAGCTATATACATACAATTATAAGATATATCACTTCTTTTTTTCAAATAATACATAATTGTGGCTTTTCCTCTCGACTTTTAAGACTTTACCATTTTATGCTTGGAAAATTAACTATATGTTTACAAAATTAAATCGCTAGGAAAGATTATTTCAATAATATCATTGACTAATTCAACTATAAACTACTAGGACATCTTATGGATGGTGAAAAGTTAGTCTCACTTTGAGATATTATTTAAATCATATAAATTAAAAGTATGGAAAAAAATTGTATTAGTATGTTATAGTACAATCACTTACCATTTATTCTAGGTTATTCACAAATACTTTAATAAGGAGTTAAATACAATTTTGCTTTTTAATTGATTTGATGGTATAAATATTCTTA